CCCCCCCCCCCCCCCCACCCTCTCTCTACGGTGCCGCCTCGCTCTCGAGAGGCAGGGGCACCGTGCGATTTGCCGCGGACCGCGCAATTGACAGAACGTGTGTGTTGCAGATTTTGCAGGGGGCCGTCGCTTGGCTCGCCCCTCGGGAGCAGAGGGTGTTTTTGTGGTTAGATTGCCTTTATCTGAGGGCACTCGTCTCGAGTCTTTCGAGTCCTCGAGTCCTCATTTCAAGCCCTAAAGTTAAAGAAAGAAAGAAAACACACAACCCAAACGGGAGGGATCGAGTATGCCGGATAGGGGAGGAGGACACAGGGTCCACACCTGCACGAGCAGGATTTTGGAAGATTCTGCGATGCCAACGGCGAGGGCGGTCGAGTGCACGGAGCTAAGTGCCTCGCCGTCCTCGCCGGAGTCGCTTAGGCTAAGGCTTAGGCGGCTCCAGTGGTGTACCTGTGTTAGTGCCAGTGCGCGCCAGTCCCGTGCCCAGTCCTGTGCCCAGTGTTGTGCGAGGGAGTTAAACGATAGCGGTCACGCCGTAGCTCGCGCATAGAAGCAGGAAGCTAGGCAGAGGCCGCATCGTGTTCGCTTCGCTGTAACAAGTTTGATCCAAAACAAGAACACAAGTTTGGCTCTACTAATATAGCGCGCGGATAAAGCGCGCGCGCCGCGGTGGCGGCGAAATATAATATTATTTCAGAGGAATATAGTGTGAATGCCCGGGAACAGCCCCTCCTGGCCCGAGTGCGGGGCGCGAGGGACAAATAAATTCAAAGGGCATGAAAGTCGTCGAGCTGCTTGATCAGGCCAGTAAAGATGGCCCGCGAGGCAGCCTTCGTGAGCAGGTCGGCGAGCATCACGACGCCGGGGAGGTGTTCGACAGAGATAACGCCACGGCTGACGAGATCGCGAAGAAACTCGGCGGCGCGCAAGATGTGCTTGGTCTTCTTGAAGGCAACGGGATCGAAGGCCATGCCGACGGCGGACTTGCTGTCGCAGTTGATGACGCTGGCGCCGTCGATGGAAAATCCAAGGTCGATCAGTAGCTCACGGATGAAAATCACCTCCTTGGCGGCTAGCATGGCGCCAAAGAACTCTGCCTCGGCACTAGACAGCGTGACAGATCGCTGCATTTTGGAGAACCAGTGGAAGAGACATCCGTAGAAGAAGAACATGCCACCGGAGCAAGAGAACTTCGTTGCCCAGTTTGAATCGACGTAGCTCTCAAGGTTGCGGTTGGGATTCGGCTGCATGACGAGGGCGCGGTCAGCTGTGTCGCGCACGTAGATAAGCACCCGGATGGCGGCTTTAAAATGCGACGGGCCAGGGTTAGTCATGAAGCGAGCAAGCTGAGACGCTGAATAAGCAATGTCGACGCGCGTCATATTGGCAAGCCACAGTAGTCCGCCGACGATGGCCATGTAGGCGGTGCGGAACTCGGACATCTTGTCGTATTCAACAGATCCAACAGCGGGCTGATCATCGGCGGACAGTTCGAGCCCCTCTTCCATAGGCGAGTCGAAGCGGCGTGAGCGGGACCGATCGAAATAGGCGCTGAACTTGGTAACGAGGTCGGCGGCGTAGAGGCCCTGCGACAAGTTCAGGGTCCGTGCGGCGCGGTCACGCGTGATGGCGGTGTTCAGTATCCATTCGAGCTCGCCCTTGTCCTCGGTAGGAAAGCGCTTGGAGATGTCGGCAACAAAACGGGCGCGCAGCGTGGGGCAGTTGTCGGCGATGAGTATGTCGTCGACGTAAACTAGCACCCATAGGACAAAATTGCCAGATCGGTAGATATACAGGCACACGTCGATGGTCGAGCGAACGAATCCCCAGGAAACGAGGAAGGAGGTGAGGAGTAGCCCCCACTCTCGCCCTGCCTGTTTGAGTCCATAAAGGCTGCGCCGGTCCCAGGTGTCGAGGGCAATGAGACCAGAAAGTTCCTTGTTAATAGCTTCGCGCCATTGCTCGACTTGAGGGCTAGACATGGCCTGCCGGTAGCTTTTAGGCACTCGTAGTGCACCCTGATCGGCGGTGAGGGTAACTGCGTATGCAGTGCAGGCAATCCGAGCGGCGGCGATGAGTGAGAATTCGTTGCCAATAGGGTCGTAAGTGTCGAAAGCGGTGTTGACGGATCCAAGGCAATCGACGAAGGCTAAGAAATCAGCGGCACATGATTCGCAGTAGACGGCATTGGAGATGAGGGCGGCAGACATGTTGACGGCGAGGCACGCAGTAGGAACGACGTAGTAACTCAGGAACGAGCAAGCAAAGTGACCAAGCTCCCTAAGGCGTGTAGAGCGGCGCAAAGGCTGTCGAGGCTCAAGGTCAGGCATAGGAATCGGTTCCGTAGCGCGCGGCGATCGTATTGGGCCATGAGTGCACCTGTATCGCGGGGCTGCGGAGGGCCGAAAATTCAGATTGGCCGCAGTAGGTGGGTGAGGCCTCAGGAGCCGACTGTAGCGCGTGCTCCATCGCCTGGGAGGTAGTGTGAGTGGAGGCACACGTGTCCTCACTTGTTCTGGTCCGAAATCTGCAAATAGCGAGGAAGAAGTCAGAAAATGGATCGTCGAAGCAAATGGTGGACTCGGACGGGCTCGAAGAGGCCGGCCGAGTGCATTGTTCAGATCCTTCATCCCGCATAGGGTTGTGCTCGCACACGCCAGGCGCCCAGGTGGTGGCTGACATATAGGGTGCAAGGCTTGTCCATGGTAGCGTACACGTTGGAGCTGCCATGGTGGTCGACGCTGTCATGTCGCTGGTGGTGTCGGCCTCGGCGATGCAGTAGTCGAGGCCGTTCTTCCCGGTAGAGAAGTCATAAACGATAGCGGTCACGCCGTAGCTCGCGCATAGAAGCAGGAAGCTAGGCAGAGGCCGCATGTGTTCGCTTCGCTGTAACAAGTTTGATCCAAAACAAGAACACAAGTTTGGCTCTACTAATATAGCGCGCGGATAAAACGCGCGCGCCGCGGTGGCGGCGAAATATAATATTATCTCAGAGGAATATAGTGTGAATGTGTCTTTCCCCCTTCTCGACTGTCTGTGCTTGTGCGTCTTGGGTCCGGAGTTGTGCGTTTATGTGAATGCCCGGGAACAGGAGTTTTGGAAAATTCTTCTCGCTGTCCCCTTCCTGCCACTCCCAGCGTTGCCGTGCCGTCGCTGACAGCGTTGCCGTGCCGTCGCTGCCAGCGTTACCGTGCCGACACATGTCGAACGACGACACCCTGGAGCTGACGATCAAGAGGCTCGTGAGACCAGTCCGTGGCTTTCCCAACCCCGACTTCACGTTCGGCGACATCACGCCGCTCTTAGCGGACGGGCATGCGTACAGCGCAGTCATCGACGCGTTCGTTGAGCGCTACAAGGACGCGGGGCTCGTGGCGATCGCAGCGCCCGAGGCGCGTGGCTTCTTCTTCGGCTGCCCTGTCGCTGCAAAGCTAGGCATCGGCTTCCTTCCCGTTCGCAAGATGAATCAGCTGCCTGGCGACACCCACCGAAGCCCGATTGTCGCTATGGATTATGGCGAACGCTGCTTGGAGGTCCACTCCGACATCCTACCAGGTGGTAGAACGGGCAAGGTTGCTGTAATCGACGACATTCTCGCCACGGGTGGCTCCGCCTTGGCGTGCTGCGGCATCCTCGAGCAGCTCGGGATGCATATCCACGAGGTGGCGGCGGTGTACGACTACTCGGCGGGGAAGTCGGCCCTGCCTGGGCGTGGGCTGCTCACGGACCAGGGCTACTCGGTCTTCGCGCTCGCGAAGTTCTGCGACGACCGCGTCGAGGGCAAGATGCTGTGGTGGCTCGAGCGCGGCACAGACGACGATGTCGTCCTCTCGCCGCACATCGGGAAAATGAACAAGCAGCACTGAGCGCTGCTCGTACGTCTTGGTCCTACGTAGTACGCGTCACGCATATCTTGCGCCGCCGTGGCTTGTCGCCGGGAAATTCTTGCCCGTGCGCGTACCACCTGTGTTAGTGCCAGTGTGTGTGTGCGCGCGCGCGCGCGCCCAGTGCCCAGTGTTGAAGTTGGAGCAATTGGAGTGCAGCGCAGCGCACCTGAAAAGAAGTCGAGGAGGAAGACAGAAAAAGAATTCGCGCGTCATAGCGCTCCACCTTGGCGCTTTAGCCCACCACCGCCGCCGCTGCCGCCGGTAGCTACTCCGGACCTGGCCTTTGATCACAGTGGACCCCCATTCACACCTAGACACGGAGGCACCTCTCCACGTCCGCTGCCGGCTCCGCTGCTCTGCAGGCTCCGGATAGGCCCTGCCCACGGCTCAGTCACCCTTACCTCGCTCGGGGTGCCAACACTAACTCAACCGCCGAGATCGACCCTATGCAGGCGACCAGGCGCAAACAGACCTCGGTCTGAGGCGCGCTACACCGCCTTCGGCACTCGCCCTCGCCCGCGAGCCCTCGGACGCGCCCCACCCGCGCCCTCACCAACCAAATCCCTCGCCTGAAGCAATCTGAAACCGCCAACACGGCGGATATCACGCGAGATCTAGTCAGAGCTGACACACAGCTCCATTCACACCTCGCGACCAGAGGCGACTACCACCCTCGACAAATCCCCGGAACCCCACCATCGCTCGCCTACCCTCCGCGTACGGCGACACCCCGACACGCCACCTCGGCAACACCCCAACATCGGCAGGAAAGATTCACGCCCCGACGGCGCTATAACGCCGCCCCACCCACACAGACTGGACAGGCCTGCTCTCGGAGAGGGGGACTAGGGGGCCAAATCCACGGCCACAACCCCCTAGAGGCAATGGTGCTGAGAGAAGGAGCTCGGCTGCAAGGGTAGCAGAGCACCACTCCTACGCCCACGCCCCCTCAAAGACGGCAGAAACAGTCACACACGCAATTTATAGTACATGGCCCAGCTCGCGCCATCGACCACACTCGAGCTTTGCAGCGCGCGGGCTCACACTCTACTATAGGCCCCCTCGACGCCCACTTCGAGTTCTACTCAGCTAAGGGCCGCACTTGACGCTGTAAGCAGCGCGCGGCGAAGCAGTTTGGCGCTTGTGGTGAATCAAATGGGAATCTAGCCCAAGGTCGGAGAGTCGTGTCATAGGAGAGGAGAGAGTGTGGAGATGTTTTGTGCGGGATCAGGCCCGAGTCCCTAGTGTCGCCGGAGCAGGTAGCTCCCTTTTTCGTAACAGGAACAATTTTTTTGAACCGTGAACGAACCAGGCGGGGCAGCGTCGGGCCGAACCGTGAACCGTGAGAACCGACTAGCACCCGCCCCGAGTCCGTGAACCGCGAACCGTGAACTAACCGTGAACCGCGAACTGGTTCATGAACCGGGTTCACGGGTCACCTCGTGAACTGAGAGGGCTGCGTCGAGAGCTCCTCTTTCTTCGCTAAAGATCTGCCAACCCCCTGCTGGGGCGCTTAGATCCTCGGCGCCCCACCTGACCAGCCGCGATCTGTGGCGCCCCCTGCCGAGGCACAAGATCCCCAGCGCCCCCCCGTCAGACGGTGCGATCTTGAGCGCACCATCGTCCGGGTCAGGATCCTGAGCGCCCCTCTTAGGATCCTCACAACCCCTTTTCTGTCGTTCGGGCCGCGGTGTATCTTCGTATGAAGATACACCTCTTCGTTTGGGCCGGGCCGTGTATCCTCGCATAAGTGTCTTCAGTGTATCTTCCGTCCGTTTAGATACACGGAGCAGTGTATCTTCTCTCATGACACGAACCTCCCTCCTTGGAACCTCCCAAGGGGGGGGGGGGCGTGCCGGTCCTTGCTGGCGCGTGCTAGCACTAGAAAGAAAGCCGATCGCCTAACACTCCTCTCCTTAAAATCCCTGTGACGTGAAATCCCTGTGAGCTGTGTGGTGGCGGCGTGCCGTCCTCCAATCCCTCCTTTGGGGTGCCTGTGTTTTCTTTCTTTCTTTCTTTATATGTACCCGCGGCCGCGCGAGACGCGAGAGAGCAGACCGCAGTCCCACGCCACGCACCAGCGCCACGGCCGGAGACAGCGCCATGGAGAGAATGGAGTATATGGAGACACTGACAGCGCGCACCCAGGCGCCAGGGCGCCGGCAGGGGGAAGCCAGGTCGCATCGCTGGCTCGCAGAGCGAAAAAAAATTCGTCCTCGCATGCAAAGAGAACGAATAAAAAATACATGCGCGGTGCGCACACGTGCCGCAAGACCAAGAGCGCCACACGGCCCACTCCCGCGCGGACTCCGGACACCGGCCACCGCTTGCGGGCCCGGCCGCGGCGGCTCTCTACCCTACTCAGCCCGCAGCGGCAGGCGAGGCAGGCCAGCCGCGTGCCGGGCAAGGTTGAGCGTGTTCTTGAGCAGCATCGCGATCGTCATCGGGCCGACGCCGCCCGGCACGGGAGTGATCGCGCTCGCGCGCCGGCTGGCCGCGTCGAAGTCGACGTCGCCGCACAGCCGGAAGCCCTTGGCCGTGTCGGCAGGCTTTGTGTTCATGCCCACGTCGATGACGATTGCGCCCGGCTTGATCCAGTCGCCCTTGACAAACTCGGCGGCTCCGATGGCGGCGACGACGATGTCGGCGCGCCGCACGTGCGCAGGGAGGCCCGCCGTCTTGGAGTGGCACACCTGATCTCGGGTGATCTCGGGTGATCTCGGGTGACATCGGGTGATCTTGGGTGAGGTCTGGGACCTCGGTTGATCTAGAGTGATCTCGGGTGACTTGGGGTGATCTCGCGTGTCCTCGTGTGACCTCAGGTGATCTCGGGTGACCTCGGTTGATCTCGGGTGATCGCGCCGTCACGGTCCCGTCCATCGACTGGAGCATGTGCGCCACCGGCATGCCGACGATGTTGGAGCGGCCGACCACCACGCACTCCTTACCTCGCACGGCCACGCCCGAGCGCTGCAGCAACTCGATGCAGCCGGCGGGCGTGCACGGCACGGCGAGCGGCGGCTGAAGGCGGGAGGCGGGGGCGGCAGTGAGGCGGGCGAGACGCGCGAGGAGATCCGAGGGCGGCGGTCGAACAGAGCCAGCGACGAGAGAGCGGCCGGGAGGCGGGTAGCAGGACTCTGGCAGCCGCGAGGCGACTCGGTGTGCAAGTGTTACCTTGCCGCCGCGCAAGCACATGTTGCCGACATTCTCGGACGAGAAGCCGTCCGCGTCCTTCTCGACTCTGATGCTCTCGAGCACCTTCGCCTCGTCGATGTGCTTGGGCAGCGGAAGCTGGACGAGGATGCCGTGCACGCTTGGGTCGCTGTTGAGCTCCTGCACGCACTGCAGCAGCGCCTCCTCGGTCACGCTCTCTTCGAAGGTCTTGTCGATGGAGTGGAACCCCACCTCTGCCGCCGCCTTCTTCTTCATCTTGACGTACGTGGCTGAGTCTGTGCGGGCGCCGACGAGCACCACCGCGAGGCCGGGCGTGACTTTGTGCGATGCAATGAGCGCCTCGCTGTGCTGCTTCACCTCCCTCCGGATCGCAGCCGCGATGGCCTTGCCGTCGATCAGCCGTGCAGCGCCGCCCGCTCCTCGCAGCCTCGCCAGCAAGGCGGGCACACAGCAGCAGGCGACGATGGAAAGGACGATGAGAAGCATCGCACTCTGTCCGACCGGCTCGTCAGTGGCGGGCAGCGGCTGCGGAGGCCGCCGCTTCCAGAAGGCCTCGACGAGAGGCAGCGTGAGGAGTGCGAGTACCGGCGACATTTGCCGGGGGGGGACAGCCCGCTTGTGTCGTAATTAAAGAATTTTCCAAGCAAACTGTGCTCGACCCAGCCCTAGCTTGGGATTCCCTTTTATTTATTTATTAAAGGAAAGGTTAGCACCCTGCGAGCAGCATTGTCGATGCTCTGAGCGTCGCCAAAAAGGCGTTGAACGAAAAAGGCAAAACACAAACACAAAAGGCGAGGGCAAACAAGAGACAGCGCCAGCATTCCCATATCCCTGCGCGATCGCGTATTATGATCGGTGTGAAAACAGCATAGTAGGTTGTGTTGTAGGTGTGAATATAGTAAGTAGTACATGCCCCTGTGAGCTCAGCCTCAGGCAGTCCTCTAGTGTGCCTGGACTTGGCCTGAGCAAATAGTAGCGTTTGGGGCGTGATGGTACGAGTGGAGCCTTAAAGTCACTTCGTAGAGTATAAATAAATAAATAAAACGGAATTCCCAAGCTACAGTTGTAGGCCTGGGTCGAGGACAGACACGTCCCCCCCCACCTTTGCAGGATTTTGCAAAAGCGAGGCTCGGTTACACACTCGGCGGCACGAGGGCAGGGCTGGGCGTCCTTTTGTGCTCGGAGGCGTTTTTTCTCTTTTGCCGCAGCACCTCCATCCCACGTACCACACATGCCGGACGAGCCATCGCCGGCGGTGCCTCCCGCGACCATCCGGGTCAATCGGAAGCGCATGCTCCTCACCATCAAGGTGGCACTGCACCACGTCTCTCCTTCGCAGATCGAGTGCAACACCAGCAAGACGCGGATCGAGCTGACGACGACGGGGCGTCGCCGGTTCGCGCTGTCGCGGCGTTACCCGAACGGGACCGAGTGCGACGACGCGCAGACGTCCGCCAGCATGCAGGGCCACGTTCTCGTCGTCGAGATGCCAATCACCAAACTCGGCGCGCGACGCAGCTCCGAGAGACAGCCACCGTGTCTGACTCCCGAGAGCCGAGACACAGTCCCGAGAGACAGTCCCAAGACACAGCCCCGACCCCGAGACAGTCAGCCGAGACGCCGGCCAGGCTGCCCTCTCGGTGACGCATCAACGACACGTCCGCAGGCGCCATCCCGTCCTTGCACGCGACTTTGCCCACGTCCGCAGCGCCATTTGCGCCGCCGGCGGCGGGGGCATCGGCCAAGAAGAAGAAGAAGAAGGAGGCGGCCGAGGCGGCCGAGGCGGCCGAGGCGGCGGAGCCGCCGGCAAAGCGCCCGAAGAAACGGCCGGCGAAGGCGGCGGCGCCAGCGGCGGAGGCGGCGCCAGCGGCGGAGGCGGCGCCAGCGGCGGAGGCGGCGGAGGCGGCGGAGGTGGAGGCGGCGGAGGCGGCGGAGGCGGAGGGCGCCAAGCGCCGCAAGAAGCGGCCAGCGGCGGCGGCGGCAGAGGCCGCGTCCTCCTTCTCGGTGGCGGAGGCCGATGCTCCCGCGGCTGCTGCTGCTGCGGCGGCGGCGGCGGCGCCCAGGAGCAAGAAGGTAAAGGGAGCGCGCGCCGCGGGTGCGGGCGGCGGCGGAACAAGGTCGGCCGGCGGCGCGGCGGACCGGGGCGGGGTAGGTGTGGACGAGAGCACGCTCGCGGTGATGGAGGAGGCGGCGCGGGCGGAGGAGGCGCGGCGGGAGGCGAAGCTGCGGCGTATGCGCGCCTTCGAGGTCCGGAACACTTCCGAGACACTTCCGAGACACTTCCGAGACACTTCCGAGACACTTTCGAGGCACTTTCGAGACACGTCCGAGACGCCGGCCTCTCGCTTGCCTCGCTCCGCTTCCCTCGCCGCCACTTCGGCCGTCGTGACCCCTCCCCGCCATTTCGGCCGTCGCCCGCGAATCCGTGCCGTCCTCCCCGAGGTATGCACTACCCCCCCCCCCCCCACACACACACACAGGCGGGCGAGGAGGAGCGGCGGGAGAAGAGCGCCGCCAAGGCGGCCGCCAGGCAGGAGCAGCGGTCGGCGCTGCTTGGCGCGCTGGCGGCGCAAAAGGCAAAGGCGAAGGGAGACAAGCGGGCGAGCAAGAAGGCGGAGCGGGCGGCCGAGGAGAAGAAGGCGGCCAAGGCGGCCGGCGGCGGCGGTGCGCCGCGGAAGAAGCGGGTGTCGTTCGCGGCGGGGCTGTGAGGGTTCGGCATTCGGATGTGAGGAGACGCAGTGAGCGAGAGCGAAGGGACTCTGATGGGGCCGCCGGACAGTGGCACGGCCATGGCTCGCACCTCGTGCGCCGGGCCGCGCCGCGGAGCGCGGTCACCGCCGCCGCGCGCGCCGGTCTCAGTGCCGACAGTGGGTTGTGGCATGTACCGCGCTACAAAGCACACTGTCTCCGTCGTGATATCGAGTTTCTCTCGATCGAACCACAAAACACGAAAACAGGATACGTTGGATGCGAGTTCCCGCGGGCCGGGCCGGGGCGCGGGCGCGGGTCCGGCGGTCGTCCGGCCGCTCCGGGGGCGGGGAGAGGGCGCCCCCGCGGGCCCGGGCGCGGGGCGCGGGGGGCTCTTACAGTGTGTGTATTAAATAGCGTGTGAGTATATACATCGCAGAGGACGCGTTACACGGCACAACTGACCGCGGTCTGTTGTGTGTTGGCCGGCGGGGCGAGCCTCTCGGCGCTGCCGTTTACCTCCCCCACCCCCTTGCGCCTCACCGCTGGCCGACCTTCTTCTTCTCCGCCTGCGCCGCGAATCCGGCGCCTAAGGAAAGGGCGCTTGAGCATCTGTGGAGTGTGGAGTGCATCTGTGGGAGTGCATCTGTGGGAGTGCATCTGTGGAGTGCATCTGTGCGTGTGTGACAGGTACAGGCGGTGCTGTCCGCTGCGCGCGGGAGCGCCCGCGGGGACGGACGACTCACTCGCAGCATCTAGAGCCGCGCGCTCAGCCTGTTCGCGCCGAGTACGCCCGCCGCGCAGCCGAGCAGCGCAGGGAGGGAGGAGAGGCCGGCGAGCCCCGCCACCAGCGGCTCTTGCGGCGAGGAGGCGAGCACGCAGAGGAGGCAGACCAGCAGCGCCGCCGCCGCGCAGCTGAGCGCTGAGGCGCGAGAGGCGGCCGTGGCGCTCATGCGGCTCGCGTCGCTCGCGCCGAACGCGGCGGCCGCGCACAGCGCCGCCGGCGCGCCCAGCAGCAGCAGCAGCAGCGAAGGCGTGCCCTCGCCTGGGCCGAGTGCCGCGGCGCCCAACGCGCCGAGAAGGCCGCAGGCGCCAGCGGCGTGCGCGCGGCCCGAGGAGGCGAGCTTGGCGCGGCCGTCCGCCATCAGCTTGTAGTGGTCGTCCACGCGCTGCCGGAACTTGTGGTCGGCGCCGTCCGTGCCTTTGGCCCTCGGGCCGCTGCCGGAGGCCATGCCCACGGGCTCGCGCCGCACCTGTGTCATCGCGTGGCGGGTGAGCCGAGAAGAGCGCGAGGCACTAGCGCTCCCCAGGCTACGCGCGCAGGTAGACTGGCGTGGCGGCTGGCCATTGGCGCGCGTGGCGATTGGTCCAAGCTATGCAAGCGCTCCAAGCTAATGGACCGCTCACGGCATCAAATAGAGTGTCGGGCCGAGGCAGGGTGGTGGGCAGCGCCGAACCGAGAGAGGGAAGCGGGAGGGTTTGGAGTTTTTGGTAAGGTACGGTCTTCCCGGGAGACCATACCCGCCCGCTGACAGACCCAGCCTCCCGCCGATGGGGCCATACCCCCCCCCCCCCCCCCCCCTCGCCCCTCCGCCGGCCGCCTTACTGCTAGGCTCCAGCCGAGGCTGCAGACACACCGACACGCACACTAGATGGATACGCGCGGATGGCCGCAGTCTACCACGCCAGCGAGAGGGTGTGGGTGTAGTCCGGTGGTACACCCGCTGTCTGCTTCTCCGACCTTGCGCAGTGCAGTGGCGGCTGCCACTAGGTGAGTGCGCAATGTGTGGGGTGGGGTGTAGATGCCGCGCTCTCAGAACAGTGGAAACGCAGGTGCCCGGATGCGGCGCGGTGCGCGGTGCACGCGGGAGAGGCCCGAGAAGGGGGGCCGAGGGAGGGTGGTCGCAGAGCTGGGCGCCGGCCGCCGCGCGCGCAAGCCTCGCAACATAATTGTCCCGGCGCCGAGGGAGCGACGGCGGCAGCGGGGGCGGCCGCCACAACCGTATAAGCCGCTGTGAGGGAGGGGTCAGGGGGAGATGCCCCGGGCCACCCTGTGGCGGTGGAGGGAGCGGTGGCAACAGGCGTGGCTGTCATCGTTGTCACAGGCGCGGCGACGGCAGCAATGGAGGTGATGGGAGACGAGGTGGGGGGCGGTAATGCAGGCCCCGTGGTGATGTTACCTTTTCCAGGTCCACAGTAGCCGTCAGCCGCCGCGCGCATGAAGCCTGGGCTACCCAGAAATTGCGGCGGCCGGAAGGATGACCCCCCCTCCTTCGAGTCGGGTGGCGGTGCAGGCCGCCCTCCCGCTCGGAACCCTCGTCGGTCGCCCGTGATCCGGTTGTCCCCACTCGTCCCCAGGCCGCTTTGCTGGGCGGCCCCCACGTCGGGCCAGAGCCGCCCCCCCCCTGAGGGCGGTTGCGGCCCTAGGGCCGCCTCCCAAGGCACGAAGCTCGAGGTCGCCTCCTCATAGGCCCATGTGCCGCTCATCTGCAGCAGCGTCACCACGTGTTCCGTGTCCCGATCAAGGGCAAGGTGGCGAGCTCCCCGGCAGGAGGTCGGGTCCGCCGTGTAGACGATGGGAGCCTCCACCCCCCCCTTGCCCGTCGGGTAGATGACGACCGCGCGGTTGTCCACCAGCGCCGAGATCATGAACGCCGCCTCGTCGTACTTGAACCCGGGGCAGGCCATGGCAGAACACCACGTCTCGAAGGTGGGCTCGGCCCCGTATTTTGGTGGGCGTATCCACGGAAGCTCCTTGCGACCGCTTCGTTGGCTGAGGGAGATAATCGTTTTCGCCGGAAATTCTAACAATAGGAGCCCCGGGTTCTCCCGGGCAAAGCGAATTAGGTCAGCCCTTCGCTCTCCCGTCTGGGACCGTAGCCGGAGGGCTCGCAACGACGCCCGAGCGGCCACCACACGGGCCGTCTCCAGCACCTCGGGGCCCGGGGGGTGGGCCACCCACATCAGCTTCACTCGCTGGTACAACACACCCGCCGCTGCCAGCGTCGTCACAGGGAAGTTCGGTTGGATGGATGCCGTGCTTCTGTCAAATGCCATAGCTGTTCTGCGCGCCACTGCGTCCTGTTCCTCCCAGAACCGTTCCGGTCCGCCTCCACCGCCCCCCCGAGCACTAAGATGGGCCCCGAGGTAACGGGCCGACCCCCTGGACGTCTCTGGTCCCTTTTCCGCGCTCGCTGCCTTGTGGGAGACCGTCGTGACGCTGCATCTCACGAGCCTTCCCTCCTCGTCTAGCGCCACTATATGGAGCCGGAACTCCCCTCCGAGCAGTCTCTCGGCCTCTGGGCTCATGTCCAGGATGCACTTCTGGTGTCGATTGCGCACGCCCGCCACGGCGTACCCCATCGCCAGCCTTTCAGCCGCCTCCCTGAGCTCCTCGGCCACTGCCTCGGCGTCTTTCCTGCCTTCCGCCTGGCCTCCGTTCATCAGGGCGTCGTCGTCTGCATACTGGGGGAGGGTGCCTCTGCTCGTCCCCGCCTCCTCTCCCGCATCTCCCCTTCCGGGGCTGAGCGAGACGAGTGCGATTTGGAGCACTTGGAGTGCAGTCGGCAACCGCACACCCAGGGCCGGGGAGCTGAGAAGCGCACCCAGCGGGCCGGATGATTGGCATCGGGTTGCGGGCAAGAGAGCCCTAGCCCAGGGGGTGCGCGTTCGCAGGGAAAGGGCCTTAAAGTAAACACGGGTCTCCGAGGGTTAGTCCGCGCTCCAGGTTTCCCCTAGCAGCGGAGCGCCCCCTTGGAGCTATTTTCTTTCTTTTTCTACTCGGAGCCAGTGATACGAGAATACGCACATGTTACGAGGATACACCCTGCCCCCACGAAGTACCTGTACTACTCGACGATAATACAAGAATACGCAGCTTGGAAGTTGCAGACGCCTATAAAGAAAAAAACAGCAAGCTAAATTTCGGCGGCTAAAAAGGAAAGGACGGGCGCTTT